TCTATGGTTTCCTTTTTTGGACTCGCTGGGCTCTTAAACAACCGTAGGATGAATAATTTCTTACTCTTCACCGTTCAGATTGAGGAGATCTTCAAGAAGCACAACCACGGCTTCATGTGGAACGAGCATCTGGGCTACATCCTGACCTGCCCCTCTAACCTGGGAACTGGCCTGCGTGGTGGCGTGCACGTCAAGCTGCCCAAGCTCAGCACACACGCCAAGTTTGAAGAGATCCTGACCAGGCTGCGTCTGCAGAAGCGTGGCACAGGTGCGGAAAAATGCTTTAGAAGCTATAAACAGACATATTAAGCATTTAGTGTACAAACAACCACCTCAGTGTCACTTTCTTGGGACGGATGATGTGTGTGTGTGTCTGTTCCAGTAAAATTACTTGATGTGGGAATGAGCCTTTAATTTCACGTCATCCAGCTGTGCCTCTGAAACAAGCTGATGAAAGGGAATAGTTGTCTTTGCTGATGGCATGTACTACGTCTGTGGCTAAAGGGTAACTCCTCCTCCCCCTACGCCTCCTCTTGACCCTTCTTGTTCTTATTGTCCTCATCTTTTGACACAGGCGGTGTGGACACAGCCTCCGTGGGCGGCGTGTTCGACATCTCCAACGCTGACCGTCTGGGCTCCTCTGAGGTGGACCAGGTCCAGCTGGTGGTCGATGGCGTCAAGCTGATGGTTGAGATGGAGAAGAAGCTTGAGAAGGGAGAGTCCATTGATGGCATGATCCCCGCCCAGAAGTAAAGTGGACAGACATCCCACGATCGAATGACTGTCGGAGTTTGTTTTGTTTTTTTATTTTATAAAAAAATGAAGCGGTAGCCTTGTTGTAAAGTTATTTTACTGGTTTCGGCCAACTGGCTACTTTCTGCTTTCTTCTTTCCGTCAACAGACACTCCACTTCTCTTTATCCTCCTTCCTTTCTTACTTATTTCTGCCATCATTACTCCTCTCATCCTCTCATCCTCTGTCTTTGGTTTCTTCTAACTCTAACCATCTCTCTTCCCATCATCTCGGTAACATCCTGGGATCAATCCATGCATAGTCTGACCGTGGCTATGTACACGCATACCAAAGGAATTTTTTTTTGGTTGTACAATATAATGGACTATTAAATGATGCCCCACGTGACAATCAAGCTTCCTGGTTATGTCATCTTTTCTTTATGAGATCTCCTGAGAAGAGAACATTAATTTCACTGGCAGCAATCACCATTCTTGAACACTAATAGCTTTGTTGGGTGCACAAATTTCAATTCAAGAGGTAAAAAAAAACAGACATAAAATAAGAAAGAGGTTGAAAGTCTTTATTTGTGTGACACGTTATTTCCAAGGAGACATGCAGGATTGCAGGTCGATCATTTCTGTAATTTCAGCCCATAAGTTAAGTTTTACTGATAACAGCGACGGCTTTAAACACACTACACAACAGAACTGTAGCCTTAAAGCGCGGCCCTAACCGTATCTAGAGAACAGCCCCACGGGGCGAGGCTCCGTTATACACGAAATAAAAAATAAAACAAACAAAAAAAGAAAGAAATCTGCAAAACTAGCCCTAAATCACAGCTTCACATTATCAGACAGCGGTGGAGACCTGCCGCGGCTGAAATCTCCCATGAAACAGATAAATTGCTGTAGTGAAAGATCACAAATCTGCTCTAACATCCAACGTTTCCATTCCCAGTGTTTTGTCAGATGCTGCATACTTGAAAAGGACAAGTTATAGTTGCGTAGCTTTATAGAGTTACAATAGACGTACAACAACCTTGTGATTTTGGAGTTATCAGTGTCCGTGCACCAATGTGTGATCACCGTAGCGCTAAGCGGAGTCTCTGTTGGTATAATTTTGGTAACTATGATCTTTAATGAGCAGCAAAGTCTTTTTTTTTATAAAAGAAAAATGAATTCTTAAAAGGTCATTCAAGGTCACATTCCCCCTTTAAACTACTGCCTCATCAACGCGCACGCCACAAGCTTTGACAAGGCAGGAGTTCGATTGGTTAACAGTCAAAAACCTCTTACAGCAATACTTAAGTCTGGTTGGTCAACAGTCATACACCTTTCAGCAGTGCTGCAGTCTGATTGGTAAACAGAGATTAAAGTCTACAGTTTGGTAAAGATGTTTCAAAGAAATCAGTGTAATAAAGCACAAAAAAAAGACTGATGTAAGACAGATTTTCATTTGAGTTGAGAGTTCATTAGAAATTTGGTACTTTTTAAACGTACCTGTACATCGGTTCCCTCTAATTTGGTTACAGTAACGTCACTGTAACCAAGTGGCACATCTACCTGGAAACCTGAAGACGTCACAGCTGATTTTACCATGTAAAGTCAAGAAGCCATATAAGCAAAGAAAGACATTCAGGATGATTCTTAGTATTCTTTGCAGTCGGCTTTAAATGGGGTTAAAGAAAATGGGATATTAAAAAGAAAAAAGGGGAAAAAGTTTTTAAAAATAGAAAAGAAAGTGCTTAATAAATTTCAAAAAGGTTACAGCAATAAAAAAAATAAAAATAAAACAAACAAGGAGCCCTGTTAATCGTAATCGGTGCTTATTCAAGTCTTGATTCTTGGCTTTGTGTCTGCATTGCACTACACTCAAGTGAAGCAGTGGCAAAAAGCTGGGATACTGTTTCGTAATGTTAACTACACAGTGAAGCATCAAATCCTACACTACAGCATTTGTTTGGGGATAAAATTATGAGGAAAAAAACCTAAAGGTCTCTTTCTTCCTTTTATGAATGTTTTTATTAAAATATGAGTCATCACTTTTGGAAAATGGACCAAGTTTTTAACCTCTCAGCATCTGCCAGCTCAAGCGTTTATGGTTAGGTTAAGGGAAAACAGCGATTCCAGGGTTAACTGATAAGACTTCATGTGGCATGTGGCTAAAACCCAAACCCTGAGCAGGTCATGAGTGATCTAGGAGACTGTCAGAAGTAGGAGGTTAAATCGTGTTTGGATTAGCCTGGTAAAACAGGAAGTGAATCTTTTTAGTTGCCATTTTTTAAAGTAGTATTCTTTTTTAAAATTTTGATGGGCAAAAGTGTATTTTCATTAAATGCATTTACTCTTTATTTACTGGAACTACTTTCATCAGGACCAGTGCGTAGGAGTCCTGAAGCTCCATTAGCAGAAATGTATATGGCATTCATAGTTATGTTTACATTAGTGTAGAAGCACATGTAACTACGCATTGCACATTTTTAGCTTAACTTTAGCCATTTGTATCTACACAGTGAGAGCTTCTCCTGCATCCAGAGCATCGAACCGTCAACTGGGTCAGACTAAGAAACCCAAACACCGGCTCAAGAGAGCCTAACATGTGCTTGTAAGGATGTTTTCCACAACCTCACTCTTAGATGCTACAAAATCCTACACACTGGTTGTTTAACTTGTGTGTCTGTGTCACAATAATGCACTCCGATTGGCTTGTTGTTTCTGTTTGTTTTTTTAAGAAAAATACAACATAAAACTGATGAAACCAACATGGATACAGGGACTTCCTGTTAGGTATTAAAATTAATTTCTTCTATTGCAAGGAACACATTAAACTTAGCACTTTAAAGGACAAACATTTGGTGAAGTTGTATTTGTTTTTAAGGATCAGAGCGAACGCTTAAATAATCAGGTTGGTCCTGTATTATTAGGCAGCTTTGCTTGTCTGTAAGCGCTTCACCTGCCAGCTATGAGCCCAGCAGGCAGAGAAGCAGTTTACCTGAAATGATGCAAACACGTCAGACTCCCAAATGAGCAGAAACACCAGTTTTGTTCATGGATGGGCAGAATTTCTGCAACGCTTGTCTTTGCATTTCTGCATGTCTCCCTCTAGAGGCCGGAGGTCACACTACGCCCTCGCTTAAATATGTGACGTTTGCCAAATGTCTGCCCGTTTTAAAAGCACTAAAGAAAGAAAATAAACTTAATACACAAAAATGAAAACATTTCTTTAAATAGCAGCTCTTTAAAAAGGAATGACAACAAATATGATACAAAAGGAATAACAATGTCAACAACAACAACTTATTCAGCGCCATCATTCGCACCATCCCCATCATCATCATCATCAAATATGAAATCATGAAAACAAAAACAGTCTGACTCTATGGGCTCATTTTTTTACGGTGGTGGTGTTAAGCAGGGATTGTAGGTCACTGACAGCTCCAAGGTCAAGGGTCATCATAAGCCTGCAGCGGTGGGCGATCCACATCTGTGTATCCATTTGTCTGCCTGTGACTGGTGGCATCAGAAGAAGAGGGTCTTTGGCGGAGGCGAGGCATCATTAGCCACGCCAGCTGAGGTGGAGCCCAGGGATGAAGAGAAGAGGGCTTGTGACCCTTCTCCTCTTCATCCCTCATCATTCATTAACCTGTCCTGTGCGTTGTCAATCTGCCCCACCCCCGGTTGCCCTCAGAGCTCCAGCTCCTTGGACACTTTGGTGGCAATGTCTCTAAAGGCTAACGGTGCCCCCCAGAGGCGCTTGAACTTTACACCGCTGCTCTGGCCCAGCCCGCTGGGCAGCTGGCAGACCTCGGCCTCGAAGGCCACGCGGGCCCCGGCTGCTCCGTGGGTGCAGGACAGGAGGAAAGGCCCGGCCAGGTGGACCTGGCAGCCGCAGCCCTGTGCCGCCTCACGCAGCGCTAGCACCACCTCGGCCGGGTCGCGGGGGCTCCGTACCCTCACATCCCAGCCGCATCGGGGGGTCCGGGGCTCGGCCGCTTTCTGATGCCCAGATAGATGGCGACTGAAAAGGTTAAAAAAAGGGAGGGGTGATGCAAATGGAGGAGATAGATGGAAAGTTTTTAAGAGAAGAGCAAAGGCAGAAGAAGAGATTTAAATGTAGGATGATGAACGGTAAAGTGTGGAGACAAGTGATTGAATGTGTGGTTGTGTGAGAACATGAGGTTAGGGGGAGGGGAGGAGAAGAAAGACAATTAATATCACACACATCACTGGATTTTGATTCTGTTCCTATGACACAGATGAGTCAAAGTCTATTTTCTACACTAACACATAATTGTTGTTCAAATAAGATATGAAAATAAACATTTCTTCTTTAAAAATGTTTTATAATGAGTAACATGAAAGTGGTCAGTGTTCAGTGTAATCAATAATTATCGTCTGTAATGGACTTCTTGTTCTGGAGCAACACATGACAACAAACAGCATAAAACCTGCTGGTAAAAGATATAATTTAATGCATTTTCTATTAGTCCAACATTATAGTTCTATTAACTACCACAGGGAGACACACTCAGCATCTACCACCACAGTCCGTTTGCTAACGTTAGCCTGGTGCAGCTGGTTTACCTGCTGTTTTTAACCTGAGACTGGGCTGGAGCAGCTGAGGCTGAGAGGGAGCGCACACCAGTTTGAGTAAAATAAAAAGAGACCGAGACTCAGTTTACAGAGATTACAGTACAAGAAATGAATGCGACCTCTGAGCTATGATTCAGGGGTCTCATGTGGCTTTTGATTACTGACAAAAATATTTTTGAATTTCATCCAGAGGTGAAAAATATCTCTGTGTGCTGGCCATGATTTATGTCTCATATAAATAATGTGAAACAGCATGAGTGTCATTTCATCACACGTTCATCTCTGTAGCCTCTCAGTAACAAATAAATGAAGAAAAGAATAGACAGCAGTAGCAGCCATTTATAGCAGGTCAGATTTCTGTTACAGAGGTTTACCTACGTCTTTTTATTTTTTATTTAAGATGCTTGCAAGGAAGAGACTTTACATGATGTATCAAGTTTTGTATTTGCCTTTAAACTTAACAAAGACTTTAAGATGATCATGACTAGATGTGCTATAGAACAGCGGTCCCCAACCCCCGGGCCTCGGACCGGTACCGGTCCGTGAGTTGTTTGGTACCGGGCCGCGAGAGTTGAGGCTCAGGTGTGAAATGTATAGTTTTCAGGGTTTTTATCGGTTTTCAGCGTTATTTTGTTATCGTATCTATCATTAACTCGGTTTTCCTGGGTCTTTTCACGTGTGTTATGAATAAATCTTCTGTTTTTTGGTACTGATACTAGTTTTATTTTGTTGTATTTATCCGCGACACCTTAAAGGCCAGTCTGTGAAAATATTGTCAGGCATAAACCGGTCCGTGGCGCAAAAAAAGGTGGGGACCGCTGCTATAGAACATTATAGAGACTGTAGAGAGGGAATAGAGCAGGTAATTATACAATACACTGGAAAAAACAAACCAAATTTTAATTATTCTTTATACTGCTGAGTAACTTAATCTATACCTAACAGTAAAGCCTAAGATTCGCTCCTTAATCTACACTACATGGATGGGATAATTTCCTTAATTAATAATTTGAATTTGAAAAATAATCGGTAACTAAAGCCTTAACAAATGCAGCGAAACACCTTTTATCTGTAACAGTTCGCAAGCGTTGACCTTTGGGGACAAATGTGACAGAGGCACTCACACTGCTGAGCTTTCTTATAAATAGCCTGATGCGTTTCATTATTCATGACCTGTTTCGGCTGCATAAGGGGGGAAAAAACCACTTTATAGGGTATCGAGGGTTACTGCTACAAGCCTGCATCACATGTGAACCTGTGATTGGTGAAAACATCGCTCTGCTAACTGAACCCTGAATTCAGCGAGTGTGCACGATGTGTCTTTCTGCCTCCTGCGTGCTTCGACATGTTTCCGTGTGAAAAATAGCCTCTGTTGGAACTTTATTTCCTGTACTGGTTAAAACATGTTTACTCACCTTGTGACCGGAGATCTGCTGATTCTCTCAGGTTCGTCTGTGACCCTCAAGAAGAAAAACACATTTATCTGTTAGAAATCAATCGGCCAACCGCTTTCTCACACAACCCCTCCCCTTCTACACCCTCCACCCCCATTTCCTGTCAATCAGCTGCACAGCTAATGGACCAATCCACTAAACACGACACAGAACATGATCTTCAAATCACAGATGGATCACCGACCTGCACTCACTGCACTGAAACACTGGATGGATGTGAAACCACAAAAACCGACAAAACGAGTGAGAAGGATGAACAAATGCCGAGGGGGTGAATTTATGGCAGCAGACCAGGTCTCAACATATAGTTTGTGTTACACGACTCACGCAAACGCAGACTTTTAATGCTGGTAGAAGCACAAATTACTGAGTTACAAGATGCCAGCAGGATACTCATGAGATCAGCTTTTTCACAGGCTTTATGACTGCATTTCACGACTTTTGTTTTAGCTTATCGCAGAAAAATACTGGACAAATAGACATTTTCTACTCCTCCTGCACTGCGAGCGGTCGTATGCATCCATTCACGCACACTCACACAGACCACACATTCAGACAGTGCTCTATTCTGTGCACGCTCTTTTTTTATATGATGCCCACACTCTCACGCTGATGGGTGCATCAGCAGTAATTTGTGGTTCGGTGTCTCGCTGAGGACATTCAGACTAGAGGAGCCAGGGATTGAACCACCCGTCTTCCGGTTAGTAGATATAGTACACTATGACATAGAGCCTTCATCTGTAGTTTGAATTCAGGAGACAGAGCCCTTTCTAATTTTAAGATTAGGATTCAAACTTTCCTCTTTGATGAAGCTTATAGTTAGTTAGTTCCCATGATGCACTGAGCACTTCTTCTCCTCCACCCTCCTCCACCCGTGCTGCATGTCATTGACTTTCTGTCTGCTCTCTCATGTAGTTTGTGCCGTCTCCAGGACCACATGATTTGCTATGATTACACTCACACAGACGGGCTGGATAATACAGTTCCCATCTGTGTCCACCGGGGGCCACTGTTGCTATTCACGCGCTTGACTGATGGCTTCCTTCCCGCCAGCATGGCAACCTGATCTCTATTCCTGGAAATGGGGGTGACTTTGAAGGAGCCAGCAGTGAGTTTTCACTGACAGATTAAGTTTGAAAAATGAAACCTAATATGAACTACGATGACTAAGGAGCTGTTGTGGCGCAGAGGTTTTAATCAGGGCTAAACAAATGTTTAGATTGCGTAGCTCAATGTTTTGACTGCGTCACACAAAATAAAAAGTAGAGAGCAATCCGTCCTAATCCCCAGGAATAACCACTGGGATACACCTTTATGGGAAAAAGTTATCCAAGTAATTATTGAGCAAATATCTCGAGGGGAATTCTTTAGGTTTAAGAACACTAAACCTGACCATTATAATTGAGTTTGAGGTCCTCTATAAAGATTATGACCTTGACATCTTGTCTGTGTAAAGAACGAGAATAACACTCCTGCTCCTCCAAAACAAGGAGCATCACATCCTCATGAAGGAATTCAAGTGTTTTGTGAGCGACGAGTGTGGAGTGGCAGACTGACCAGACTCTTCTGCTGTGAGTCAGTGACTGTGTGCAAACGCTAAAGTATGTAAATTGCAAAAAAACAGATTGTGTGGGGGAGAGAGAAGCAGAAGAAAAAGAAGAGGACACGGACGCAAAAAGAGAGAGGAAAAAAGACCGAAACTGGGACGAGAGACAGACAGAGACAATTTGCGGCAGCGTAACAGAACAATCTGCTGGTATCGTGAGGGAGAGCTGCGCACGATCCCAGTTTAAGACCGATAAACTGTGGTTATATAACTAATCCTGGTTTAAGACGGCAGTGATGCTGGGTCAGTCGGTTAGGATGACTGTAGCAGGCCCAGATGCTTCTTACAAGCCTCTGCTCCTTCGGAGCCCTAAGACGCATGCTGGGTACATTTACAGTCACGGTTCAACATATTTGTTGTATCGCGTTAATTGTCAACAGTTACAGCATGATCCATTAACTTTCTGCCACCTTGTATACCATACAGTGACAGCAACCTCCACATTGCCTTAGTCTAAATTAAAACGTCCTGTGCATCCTGTGCACAGCCTTCTAGTCTCCTAATACCAACCTTAAAAACCCTTCAGACCTTTCCTCAGTTTGTTTGCTCTAGAAAGAATCCTTAGCTATGGACTGATGTCAAAAATACCTTTTTAAACACTTGAAATAATATTTTATAAACATTAGATGTGAAGAAAAAATCAAGATAGTTATCTAGAAGTGGATAAAAGTGATGTTTTTGACATACGTTGCTGCTAAAACCCATTCAGGAACGCACCATACGTCACACTTTTCAGAGGCATAGAACCTGCCTGTCTTCATCTCAGCTCTTCTTCCTTCACCCCCTGTGTCTTTCGTGTATAAAATACACCTCGCTTCCTTTCTGTCCCGGTTTCTCTGCTTTCTCTGAGAATCCAAAGCCCTGCTGCTGCACGACTGATGATTTGTTAACAGCATGGACAAACATATGGTGTTGATTTTGTGACTCAAAGTAGTGCAGTTGGTGTGCAATAAACTCATACTCCAGGGAACGCACAAACATACACACACATCTCCATAGTGTTGTTTATTCTACACTCTGCATGAACAAGAGTGTGTGTGTTGCCCATGCGCTTGTTTGTGAGCAGTGATTTCTAGCTATAGTAGCTAAAAGACCTAACATCCTACCTGATGGTAACATTTAAAGACATACTACAGTAAAAAGGAAAACTTAAACATACATTTAAAATAGAAATAATTCACTTTTTTGTTGCTTTTAAGTGCTTTGCTAGAAGCAGGTAATGATGCTGTGCTGTTTACAGCCTGTAGTGAGTGCTACAGCCTAAAGCTGAGCCACTGGAGACGGGGGGAGTGACAACAAGACACTAAAGCAGACAGCAGCTGATCAGAGTTTCAGAAACACAAACACGCTGGTTTTGAGATAAAGCTGCTCTACTGGAAGAAGAAACCATCAAACATTTCATCAGTGTGGACTTGGCCACAACTTTAAGTCACAGATCTGCAGAGTTTAGTCTTACTGCATTTCACGTTTCTAAAGGGAAGTTTGAATCCTGGATTTTTATAACCTTTTACGTCAATTAATGGAAACATAAAACCGAGTGTGTACAAACAGTGACCGAGCATGGGTGACATAAGCACATCAAGTAACATAAAAGGAGAAGATGTATCACAACAAATTTCTGCATGGTAAGCAAGTTAAGCGTGGGACTTTTTAAAAACCTTTTCACTTTTAATGCAGCAACAACTGTTTTTATCTGTTTTATGTATGAATGCACAACGAATAACCAGAAAACACAACGTAGCCCAAAGTTATGCACTTTTATGTTTTGAGTACTCATATATTTAAGTAAAAGATTTGATCAGACTTGATCCAGATAAGAAGATGGATGTATTAAAAATAATAAATAATAAAGAGATTTGACAAAAATAAAAATGTCTTTAATAAATCGAAGAACTTTTGAGCAGTAATGTCGATGCTGCAGATCAAATAGTGCTGACCAACATAAAGAAAGGCAGCATTTCACATGCACACTCACACCGCCTTTAGTCTATAAGCATATAGTGTATTTTAACAGCCTGCAATCACAAGAAAAATATGCTTTATAACTAAATTCCAACTGCATATTAGACTTTTTCACATTTTCTCTCACACGTATCCTGCAAACTGGTTCTGCGTTTGAATCCACTGGTGGGGGCGGACGTTTTGCACACATGTCTTTGGATAGTACTTCAAAGGCCATCTAAGATTTTTTAAGACCTGCTTATGTTATTTCATTTATCAACTATTCTCCACTTTAAAAAAATCTAAATTTTGATTTTACCACCATGAAGCTAAAATATAAATTTCAGTGGAAATATTTGACTGAGACAGATGACTTATTTATATTAATTACTACCTTTAGAGTAGCTTTGCCTCAGATAAAACTTTATATAACTAAACTCTGACCTGCAACAGACTGCAACAGTGAATGAGGGGTAGAGGGGATGACTGAGCACTGGCAGGCAGACAGACAGTCAGATGGACAGAAGCAGCCAGAAAACATGGGAAAGGAAGACTTACTAACTGTTTTTGTTCCCTGCGGGAGGGTGCAGCCCGACATGGACTTGTTTGAGCTCTGACGTTTAGAAGGGTCAAGAGTGACCCTAGGAGGAGAGAGGAAGAAGAGAAGGAGGTGAAGAGAGGATGAGAGGAATGGAAAAAAATGGAAAATTGAAAGTTTTTGAAAGAGAGACGTGAGTGGAAGAAAAAGCAAGTGAAGGGGTAGACAACACAGAGTGACAGTAAGAAGCACAGGTAGAAGAGGTGAAGAATTCAACATCAGGTACTGTAGTTCAAGAAAAGAAGGATAGAAGACTGGAAGGTGACTGGCAAGAAAAAGCCAAAGTGGTTAAAGAATCAAACAAACAAACAGATAAAGCAACAATAAGCAGCCAAGAACAACCGTGAAAGACATACAGTGTGTCCACCTGGCGTGCAGACCTGGGTCAGATAGGTTATCATTTACCTTTTTAGCTTTAATTGCCAGTAAGGTGCAGTAAGGCGGAGGTGCCTCAGGAATACAGTTCATGAGAGGAACTGAAAATAGGAGGTAACCATTTTATAAATTTAAACTGGTCTTCATATACTGTCCATCGATGTCGCAGGATTGTGTGGTTGTGTGTGTTTACTGTTGGTTTACAGCTCTACTTCTTCAGGACAGAGTAATTCATATTTTGTCTTATAGTGTAGTAAGATGTACACACTTGGAACATGACACAGCCCCCACACTCAAATCTAAATAACTAAACATGAATTAGTGCAGTAAGTGGTAACTTTAGTATTCTGTGATGTTTGAATCTGTGGTTAGCAATGGGTGGATATTTCCATGAAGATGTGGATGTGGCGGAAAAAAAAGACTGAGAATCTTGAATGTGAGAAAATTAAATTGGCGAACAATATTTGAACGCTATTAGACCCAGGTCTGACACTCCGGAGGACAAGTTCTGAAGCCTGTAAAGCTGAATTATTAGAGAAGGAAGGCTGGTAGGTTAGTACTGGTTAAGGAGACGTGACAGGCAGCAAGGTTATCGAAATGATCTTCATGTGCAGAACTACACTGTCTAGTTGTAAGCTCATAATCAGACAGGCCTGTACTGTCACTTTACCACAACGATTAGCAGTATTACTAAACATTTAGCAAAAATACGTGCAGATTTATTAACAAGCCGCTGTTTTTCTACCAGTTAGCCCCGTCCACTCCCTGTTTCTTTGTTACTTAAAGCTTTCAAAAACAGTAAGACTTGACATTCGAACATCTAGCTTCTCCTCTTACCTGCGAGTCAACTTGGAGGTGATTTTGCTGAGCAGGTTGGTCGTACCCCGGGTCCTGGCATGGGGCAGTGGGCTGGCATCGTGGGACAGCGTAGGAGACGCTGGAGGAGCGTGAGAGGGAGGCCGGCGGTCTCTAATCTGCCCTCCGTGAAAAGTGCTCCTCACTGTGGATCCCCGGGACAGACGGGAGGAAGGCGTGGAGGATGAGGAGGAGGTCCCAGAGGCACCTGCAATGCTGTGGGTAGAGGGGGAGGCAGGGGGGAGGCGGTGGGATGTGGAACTGGAGAGGTGGGTGAGGGTGGAGAAGTTGCAAGTTAGACTATTAGAACAAGTGCAACTGTTCAGGAACCATACAAGCACCAAACCATTTATGCATGTTTGAATACGGCTTTTCCAAACATCTGGAAGGAAGCGCGTTCAACATAGACAGAATCAAACCAGAGAAGTTACATTCACATTATAACTGCAGCGTAGGCTGTGTGAGCCAGTGTTAGGCAACAATCACAAAACTGCATTTTCACTTCACTTTCAGACCCCAAATAGACTAGTGTGACCCATCGTCACTGGAAAAACACGCCACCTCGAGCAGTGATGTGACTCACTGATGTGTTTGTGACAAACAAAGGCTCGAATGAATCGGTGGCGGAAAACACTCGATAGCAAAATAAGTATTTTTCATCTTTCATTTGGATTTTTTGACATCAAGTGCAGATTATTAGCAGACTTATGGTTTTAAGTTGGATTTAACATGCCCAGTGCATTTAAAAACAGTTAATCATTACGTAACTGGGTTTCTTCATGGCTTAAACTGGGGTTAAAGACAAGCTCCATCATTAGTGTGCAGTATTAAACAAAATCTACGGACACTGATAACTGGCTGGCTGATAAAAGGTGTATTATCCTTGAGTATATTTAACAACCTAACAATTAACAATTTAAAAATAATTATTTGTCCGGTTTGATTTTACAATTCTAATCAAAGACGTCAACAGGTGAAATTATAATGAGCTGTTCGCAAACAGACTTTATTTCAGACGTTTCAAGAAGAAATAGTTTTCAAGTCTGAAATAAAGTCTAAAAGTAAAAGACAGAAAGACCAGCAGAGCTAGCTCTCATACATTTCACACAGGTTGTTTTCTAACCTGAAAATTAACCCAAAATATTCTCTCTCTTGTGAGCCCCTGCATGCCCCAATACCTCATGTCCAGTTCCCCTCTGCTGTCACACATTATCGCACCTACGCACATAAACCACACACACACCTCTCCACCCCTGACTCTCAGGCTGGCTGGTGGCCTGAGGCTGCTTTTCATAACGCTCTAGATAACACCCACACACAGGGTTCAAGTGGGACAGAGCCATTAGATGGGTTAAGCTGAAGCGCAGCCGTTGCAGAGCAAAATCGTTTAGCGTCAATGTGAACTGGCTGCCTACTGAGGCTCACCTCAGGGGGCACACGGGGGCTGCAGAGAGCAGAGGACAGCGGGATGGGGGATGGTTGAAAATTTTTTTTTCTGTTCTGTAGCTGTGTATGGTTTTGTACACAAGTTTCACCAGTGCCTCAAACTAATGTGAGTGCTTGATTAGTTAAAGCAGAGATGTCAAACATAAGG